GACTCAGGGTGATCGTAACGGTTTCCATGGTTAGCTGCATTCTCAGATGGATCAATGGTATCATCATCAATCGGTTCTGGGACAGTCAGTTGAGGAAGAACAGGGGGCACGTGATGCGAATTCTCATCCAACAAGGGGGTGGAATGATCAGTGAATGGAGGAACGGGACGTACAGTAGCGGCAAGGGGAACAGCCAAGGGCTGTTGATTTTCAGGGTAAGGCAAGGGGTTGGCAGTAGGATGCTCGGGATGTCGTGATAGATGAGGGTCGGGCTCAGGTTGAATGGGGTCGTGGTACTCGCTTGTAGGTAACATCGAATTGAGAAGCTCTGTACATCATGTTCCATATAGAATTGATCAAATACGCCATTTCAGCGTCTACACGTTTAATTCCAGTTATAAGACCAAACAGAAGTACATTTGTGTATGAGTGCATAAACATTCGATCGGTTATGGGTTCCCGTCGAATCTTTTCTGCCCATTATCTTCAGTGATTTTAGGAGGGGCAATACGATATCTCATTGAGATCGTCAATACCCTGAGTGTATCACATTAGTTTGTTCAAAAGGAGGAAAACTCGGTAAAGACCTCAATTGTGGAGTTTGTTGGTACCTGACGATGATGCTGGAGATCATTATAAATCTGGAGCTGCTTTGCTTCATAGTTTTTGATTAACTATTGTGAGTACCAAGTCAGTGTTGGCATTCATGACGTGCAGCGAAGTCATTCCTGGTGTGTCCACGATTTATATGTCTTGCTGTATCTTTTGAGTTCAATTGATTGACACTCTTTCAAATCGGGGACCCAAGAATAAAGTTTTGCCTCCTTCATTAAATACCGATAGAGTCTGGTCTGATGTTATGATTATTATATATGTCTATAACACACACGTTTTAATTCAGGTTTTCCAACCGGCTAGTCTAATTGTACACAACAAATGTCTATAACAAAAAAGGCCCCACCCCTCAATCCAGTCGAGGCTCACGGTGGGATCTGTCGGTCTAAACAGCACCAACAAACTCGCTCAAGTTCGTCTGGTACGATGTCTGCGCCTTGGCCACCGTCGCCTCCGTTTGCGCCTTGGACCACGGAGCCAGCCCGTAAAACTCGAGGTAGGTTGCGTGGTGCTCTGACGGCTCGTAGTCTTCATCCTTGACGTATGTGGCCTTGCCATTGTCCACCACGAGCTCGCCGTCGTAGCTGAGCAACCCCAAGAGCTCCTCCAAGTCGCAGGCAACGGCGGTGACCACTTTGTCGGAAAACACGACTATGGGACACTGGCTGAGGTCTTCCTGGACACACCAGAACCCATACGACGCGCCGTCGTCCAGCGCCTCGGCAAACTCGATAAATTGGTCGGCAACGCCGTGGTTTCCAAGCCGCTGGTAGAGCTCGTCTCGCCCGTAGGTGTCGAGGCAGAACCCGCCCAGCAACTCGGGCCCCACGTTTTCCTGGACGTTGAAGAGCTCGATGAGCCGTGGCGGCACCTTGTAGGAGCCAAATTGGGCGACAAACTCCTCGAGGGTAAACATGGAGTAGGGCACGTTTTGTGGGGGGGGGCAAATGTGCTCCGAGACTGAGACAGTCACGGGCTCCCAACTGAGGACCACCCCACCGAAAGTGGTAGCGACACCGTTCAGCACCAACACAGTTATGAATTTCAAACGAAACAAGTCTGTGGATCACGGGTAGGACACTCCATAGGAAATAGAGACTTTCGTTTTGTTCAGATTTTCAAATGCTTATTCAAACACCAATTGATCAATTGCGAGATTCAATATCAGGATATAACTTCTAGACGCTCAAACCAATCGGTTTCAATTAAGCTAATCTCCAGCTAATTCAGCACAATGAAATCAGCATGCTAAACATAACGAAAACAACCACTTAAAAGACTTCTGAGATAGATGCTAGTGATATAGGTCGATCTGCCTGTAATATACGGTGCCCATGTGTAAATGGATTAAGCGCTTTTCCAAAACGACAGGCTCAGCTTTCGTTTGTTGTTAAAATCGAGTCGCTCTTCAATCGGGAATACAACGACGACTTGATAGACCGTAAATCAGTATTAGATGATGAAAATCGATAAATGGGAAAAGCAGCGATGATTATCAATATATCCAGCGTCTGGTGATGATTGACGATAGAGCTTTGAACCTTCCTCGAGGCCCCAAGCGTGAGGTAATCGAGAATCCACACATAGTGGACACCAAAGATCAAATAGCTCGCTATACGCGCCAGATATCAGCTATTACCACCCCTAGAACAGTCTCCAGCTACACTAGCATCACCATTTGAGGTGAGGGCTCTCGCTCCCGGTGTCGTAGCGCTCCCATGGCGCTTGCCACCCGGTGCGGCTCCCATCGGTGGCTGTCTCCAACAATCCGCGACAACAATGGCAGGCTGACCCCCGATACCGCTACCTGTCAATAGCCGTCCGACGAGCCTGTTACCAGTGATGCCAAACAGAGGACAATATGAGGACCACACCATGCAGAGGTAATCCCTCATCCAGTGGGGCGAATTCGGACAAGGCCTCTTACAAACCAAATACCTGAATCCACGTAACGTGAGCTGAGGGATCCAGTTGCATGCCGCCAGTATTTGGGGGCTGACCATCGCCTCATTGGTTTGTTGTTAAGGGCAAAGTGACGGCAACGTGTACAGACAGCTTCTGGCTAATAAACACGTTTCAAAAGCGCAATGCCGACTCCAGAACGACTCGAATGGAAACGAAAATGTCTGCCAAGACGTCTAGAGGGTGTACTTTGGCATTATCAGTTGTACAACGCACTTAATTACCGGCACAAACAAGTTTACCCTGAGTCGTTGGGGAAAGCACATCCCGATACCTCACCATGAGCGATATACATCAATGACGATGTTATGTCCATCCAGCGTTTCAACAACATACCCTTTTGGCAGAATACTCTAGCGAATGGCTTTGTTGTCCATCAAATCCAACAAGGTCCCGGCAGCTGGGTATCGGAGTTGGCAGCTGGGTACCTGAGTTGCAGGTGGGTCCTGGATGTGACTCAGTTCAGGTGTAAGAGCTTCAGCTGATTGATATCTTGGTTGCAGGCTGTCAGCTGCGATAGTAACCTCAAAGTTCCTCCACTCCCCGTTGAATGGGAGGATGCTGTACTCTGAAATTCAAAGGGAAGACTGGGATCGAATGCACGGTATTCCTGTAAGTATAACTTGCTGACAGTCTATTAGGAGATGGAATAGCTGTGTTGATGCATTCCAGAGCAATATGTGCTTTCTCCAGAGTTAGTGTCTGCAAGGCACCTTTGGGAGTCACCATGCCGTGAAGTTACACCCACCCTCTAATTTCCATTGTCACTCCATGTCTCCGATTGCTAATATGGTGTTAGGAAAGCTTCACAATCTCGCCTTTCTACTAGCTGAGCGCAGCTTTATTTGTTCGCACTTGTTCTTTCTCCAGTTATCTTTACCATTATGGAAGCCGCCACCGAGCTCCCCCGGTTCCACTTCTTCCCCGAGTTTCCCAAGGACATCCAGTTGAAGATCTACGAGCGTACCGACGTCCCGTCGGTGTGTCGGTTCTACGCCGCGTGTGCCTCTGACCCAGCGTACAAGGTTACCTGTAAGGACGCGAAGTACTACTTCAACCGAAAGGTGGTCGAAGTCACCCCTGAGGTTGTGGTCACCGGCGACCACCGCCAGATCGACTTCTACACCTACAGCATGCTTCCGCCGTGTGACATCCGAGTCACCACCCCTATTGGTCTTTTGGCAATGACAAAATGGCACCTCACGCAAGTGAAAGCTCAGCTGGTGTCGTTGATAATCACGAACATTTTCAGTCAACGTGTTCCTTGCAGTCTCCTTGGTCTTGGCGACAATGTTGTTGTATTAGCCATTGAAGGGATAATTGATGGTGCAATCGAGATTGATCCTCGGGAATTCCCATTGTCCGTCGAGAAGCTTACCACTAGCCGTACAATATTCAAAGTTGCACCTGATCTCAGACACTTGACAAACCTTGTGAGCTACGATTCGGACTATGATAGCTACTACGACAGCAGCGATCCAAATAACGTACGATTATCGCGCATTAGCGTGTTTCAGTTGCCTTCACTGCTTACCACACTTAATGGTAATCTCTGGACTAATCTCAGTACACTGGAGTTACCTAATTTCAAGCACTTTCGTGGTCACGAGTTGGCCGATGCCTTTTGTAACCAAGTTGAAACCGCTAATGTTTGGAGGTTTAACCCGCGGGGTCGCTTCAGCAAGTTGCGTGAAATAACGGTCGGAAGAGGTTACCCCAGCTTCAAAGGTTGTGAATGTCCTCAGCTAGAAAAGGTTAAGTTTTGTGGATATCATGGCACAGACGGTCGTACACAGTGTGACGTATCCGATTTATTTACCTCTGCACAACAAGCTCAATTGGTGTCGCTCAAGGGTGCAGCCCTCGTCGTTATTGACATGGCTCCTTTCAAGAACTTGGAGGTGCTACATATGAAATTGGAAAAGATTCTCACGGCTGACTTTCCTTTGCCGCCAAAGTTGAAGGAGTTGATGATATGGCTGGACTTTTCGGTCACGGGCATCCCGGCAACGCTTGAGGTATTCGTATACAGCTATGATGCACAGTCAGCGTCTAATGTCGTGGTGAAGTCGCCGAATCTTAGAGAGTTGCGGGTCTATTCCGTGAAATGTTTGACCATAGATTGTCCGAACCTTACCTCGTTGAATGTGTGGGATGCTAACAACCTCGGTGCCCTTGAGGTGCCAAACTTGGAAAAGTTGGACGTGAATAGGGTACCATTCCCTTTAATCGTACATGGTGCGCCGTTCCCCTTGGAGAGGCTTACACGGCTCAACCATCTTTTGTTGCGCGGTAACCATATACCCGGATCGAAGCCACGGTTTGACCGCGCCCAACGCGTTGTCATTGGACACCGTCTCAAGTCTGTCACTCTTGACAGTATGGAATTGCTGGAGGTGTCGATCTCGTCGGATGAGGTGACGATCCATAATTGTTCATTCGAGAACACACCACGTATCAGGGCCACCATTCTCACGTCACCTGGAATGGACTTCAACACAAGCGATGTTGTCTGTCGGGAGTTGGAGTGTTGGAGTATGCCTAAGCGTGCAGTTCCTCAAATGGTGGAAAAATTGATCGTCGACGAGTACAAACGATATAGGGTCTTACATTCTCCTTTCTATGGACGTTTAAGTGATCCTTCTTCATTCGTACTTGATGGTTATAACAGACTCAGATCAGTTTTTGTCCACGGGTATGCACCGAAAAAAGGTCTCAGTTACAAGCTCTCCTTCGCCGCTTCGATGAAACACCTTCGCATTGGGGTCGAGGCATTAGGTAATTCTGCGGAAATACGGTTTGCGGAACACACGCAGCTTGAGCACCTTGAGTGTTGGGCTTTGGCGTCCAAGGAGCAGTTGGGGATCACGGAATACCCTCCTTCGTGTTACTTTCCTCAGGGGGTACGGACTGAGACCGGCACTGACTATCCAGGGCTCCAGGAGTCAAAGTTGCGGCAACACCTGCGAATGTAATTGAGTAACGTATGATATTATGCGTTGTAGAGATCAATCTGGATTTTGATGAGCGCGTGGGTAATACGTGGGTGCTATAGGTCTATTGAATCGTCTTATATATCAATTGTTCATTGGTATGTCTGAAATCTCGTTTCAACAGAGTCACTTTGATTTATCTCAGCACAACGACCCACTAGTCATCGTTTCTTAGTTAATATAGCTAGAGGCCTTGGGCAATAAAAATGGGTAAATAGCTGAAGATCTCGAAACCAACCCTTTGATAACCATCCCAAAACCGATGATGTATTGCCGGTGTGAAAGTAACCTATACCTCTTTTGCGTCTAAAGCTTACCCATGTCGAATTCCGTTGAATTAAGCTCTCCAACTCGAAGCGCCCGAACGCCCCATCGTTGACGTTGTCAGAGTGCTATTGATGCCATTGAAGTCAGATTTTTAGCAACTGGTAATGATATAGTACACGTACACGTCCATCACCTGAAAAAACGATCATTACAAATTGGGCTACGCTACGAGAGCTACGCAAACTGCGTGTTGAATAACCGTCTAGTAAACCAGTCGAGCTGAATTCTAAGCAATCCACCAAGCCGACCATTACTCGGACGGTTCCTCTTGCTTTGCACGCGTGCGCTTTTCCTGACACTGTTGATTGTCCAGTGGCCACTCGCACTTCACCGTGTTTTTAGTTGCTCACGTGTTCGCAACAAATCCGCACTTGAACCATAACCCCTATCAGGATCACCGCTGCAATCTACGATTAGTGGGTGACACAAAACCTTATTTCCACGGCTGCTACCATAAGATAGACTCCATTAACAGTTTGTCGGTGGTAAACACTGGACTCATGACCCATTTGAAAGCATTTTCGATGGCAAAGAACCACGAGGCAGAAGGGGGCTTATCGCCCGCCTGCCAGCACGCGACAACTAGAATTTGCNTGTGTACTCTACGCGCGACGGGATCAGAGTGCCTCCACGTCCCCCCCCCCCATATGCTGCCGATGAGCTCAATGTCATCGCCATCCCCCTGTATAGAGAATTCTACACCAAAATGCAGGTTATATTCAGCCATTGTTCATCTCTTACATTCCATTATCCTGAGCACATCGCCCCCTTTTCGCGCACCGTCACCACTCCCGTTTACCTTCTAATCACACAACAACACGAGCCTCAGGGCAACCTCACAATCATCCCTGTCGTAATATCAGTAGCGGTCTGTGGACTATAAGCAAAAGCAGGCCCATTGGACCGAGTCATTGACGATTTCAGCGGTATAAGCTCCCAACAAAGTGAGTAGATTCACATGAGGAGTGTCCTAAGGGAGACACTGCTGCATGTAGCTTCAGATAAGAATGATATCCCAAAACAGTCAAATTTGAGGCTCGCCTACGTGGCTGATTAGTCGTCTGGCTATGGTGCTTCTGCACGAGCGCGTCTGCTCGGGGCTCAGGCGGGGACAACTTGACGGGAGTGACTGCGCATAACCAAAACTCGCATCGTCTAATCGACAATGGAGTGACGGGCAGCAACGCGAAGCCTCCCTCCTAGGCCCTCCTCTTCGTCCCTCCCCCCTCTCAATAAAATTTTAGCCAGCTACGTAGCCTCAATACTTGTTACGCCATCAAAGTCTAACCTTCTGATCCAGATGGAGAAGGACAGCACCATTGGAAATGAGGGTACTATCCAGGACGCGAGCGCCATGGATATCGATGACGAGGTCCGCTCCCATGAAGAAGAATTGGCTGAAATGGTAATCAATGGTGACGACCTCCCTGACAGACAGCAGATTGGCAAAGAAAAGCTTGAACGGGTGATAGCAATCCTTATTGACAAGTCTGTTCCCAACGACTGGCGCTCAATGGCTGTCGCATACGACTACACCTTTGATGACGCTATACGTCTTCATGAGTCGTATGTTAATTGCATCGATGTCATCAATAACCTTGATGACCTTTTCGAGGAGATTTGCAAAGTTGGTGATCCCTTGATTCTGACCCAGCGCTGTTTCCAAATTCTTTTAAATCGAATTCTGTACTTATCCGGAATTCTGGTGCGTCGCTCGATGCAAGCGGCCGTCAACAAATTAATCAAGTGCAAGTCGATGGAGGCGCTCAAAGCGTGGTTTCATGAAGACTTGTACAATCCGAAAGCGATCATGACCATTGCCTACGCCTTGGTACACAAACTGCCCAAGGTGTACCTGTTTGGGACCGCTTGCGACATGATTGCCATCACTCCTTTCTGTACGGGGCTCGGTGGAGTGTACCCGCTCATTGCAGGCAAGTTCGACCTCCCCTCGTGTATCAAAATTCATATCGTGTTGTTTGAAGATTTGAGACACCAGCCCCACTGGTATCAACCAGGCCCACTGGCGGTGCCATTAGATCATCTTAGGGATCTATATCACAACGCCATAGAAGTGGATAATGGCTTCAAGATAAAGTCTGTATATGGCCGCCCGACACAACTAGACCCCAAAATCGAGGCCATCTTCTCACGTTATCGGAATGGCGTGCAGGTAGACCTTGCCTCCTTGCCTGAACCCCTACAATTGACGGCCTGGGCTCACCGTTATGATGAAGGCATGATGGTCTATGAGTGGATCGATGCAGTGTTCAACGAAGCCATGCCCGTGGCGTCCTTAGTCACCGACTGCAAGATCAAGACCGTCGCATTTTTGGTCGAGCGTGATTGTGGGCTTTGGCAGTGGGGAGATAGCGTCAACAATGCGGAATTGTATGAGTGTCGGACCCTTCAAGATTTCCGGAGATGGTGCTTCCAACACCTCATCATGGCGCGGGGGATCTGGGCGAAGATGTTCGCTCTACTCACCCCTGGGTTGGATGACAACCACTCCTCGTTGACCACGATGTGGCTCAACTGCCTCACGGTGCCGTTTTTGGGGGAGTTTTACTCTTTCTTCTTGGCGCTTGCCACCTTCCACTCATGGCACGACGGGTCGTTCAAGGCTGAGTACATCATCACGGAGTTGATGGGTACGGTGCAAACTTGGTGGTTACCCTGCGACGATCTGGAGTTGCCGATGCTGATGGATGCCGTTGTCGAGCGGATCCAAAGCATGAACCGGGCGTATGTAACCTTAGAAGTCCCTCCGCGGATTACCGAGGCCGATATCTTACGCGAACGAGTCACTAATTAAAAAGTGTATATGGACGTATTTCCCGAGAGCATATATGAGACATTGTGTGTACTGTAGTGGAGTTTGGTGATCAGACTGGGGCGGTCAGTGTCCTTGCCCGTCTCGAGCATTCCGAGGCATCAGGATTGGACTCGATTAGTACACATCGATTACCCATTCTCATCAGCTAAAACAGCACTGGCACTTGGTCATCGAATCGATACTCGAGATTTTGAACTTATGTTGTTTAACGTCGAGACATCGAAATCCTTCCAGAACGCCGTACTCGAACGTTTACGAGTGCGCAATCAATCTCACTTTCATTACCTTTCATTGTGTATGTCAAGCCAACTTCATCCGCCAATTCGTCCTTTAGCATAAACAGAGTTTATCTGAGGAAACACCAGCATCAGGCTTGCCGCCAGTAGCATCACTATAGACCAGGCAAGACTCCTTGTCGTAGGTGATGGTTATCTTATGGGTTTGAAGCGGACACATTCAAGATCTCATGTCCTCACCGGAAGTGACTTCGACTTGAGGCATAACTAGGGGGTGACTCTGCGACATTGTAAACATACCAGGTATATATTTACCTCTTGTTTTGAGTTCTTTCAGCTTGAAGCTGTTGGATCAATACACTTTGCGGATTGTCGTCGGGGATGGAGAGGGTTTCCAAACTTTTGGTGGGGATGGCGAGGTGTGTTTTTGGAATAACGATATGAATGGCACCAGTATCAATACTAAAAGATAACGAAGCCATGTCCATCGGCAATTATTTTAAGCAAGCAACCATGGGTCAAAGTGTATTCTTGCACATCAGCATCGTGGGCCATAGCCGTAGGGGGGTTGATCGACATATTGAATTCCTTGTTCTTTCTGACTCCAGTTAGCGGCTCGTAAAATCCTGCTAGAATCACCAACAACCAGGATTTCGTTCGCTTAATAGCTTTCCATAACCTTTTCCACATGATCTAAGACAGCTCCAAACAAGTCACCATCCAATTCTTCAAATCTCGCTCCGGCATTTGAAGCGTAGATGTCAATATTACCAAATCGAATTGAATCAATCTTCGAGTACGGGTAAGACGAATTTCCATGGTAAGTGGCTCTCAAATTGCTCAGTGTAACGGATTGCCAGTAATGTTCTTACCGGGCTTGTGCTTCGACGAAATGGCTGAGTAATTGATATAATTTAGGGCACGAGTACCACCAGCAATCACTTTATTTTTGGAGATTCATGTTAAAAGACTGAAAGCTGATTGTATAACCACCTGAATCAATTGCTGTCGAAATCAATCACCGCCAAGCTTGACCAGTTTATAAAGCACAGGCACAAGCACAAGCCCAATGGCACCAAATTCAGTTTCACCATAATATTCAAAACATCAATAGGTATAAAAATTGCTGGTTTTAACGAATTTGGGAGCTGACTCTTTTCATGGTTGTTTAAGGCCCATCGCAAACGGCTGAGTTTTTCGCGATTGGCAAAGATCGGGGCTTCAAACCAAACATCGGTGCATTTAGTGGCAAATGAAGGCAATGGTTAACGTTGGAAAGTAAACATAGGTTTGTTTGGACACTTACAGAGCCTCTTGGTTTTGTCCAATAACACTACTATGGGTGAAAGTGTAAAGACTGTCAGTATAAGTTGATATATCATATCAATTCCATGTATAGTCATGTAAGGTTCAACAGGGATGTGTCTTTACCTGAGTATGAGGTTGTCATTGTGAGATACAACCTGATCCCTACCTACCAATGGCGAGCCGTATGCTTTGATTTTGAATGAACCAAAGTAACTTAGGCATTTTTATAGGTAAAATCGCTGCATAGATTACTATGGGTTCTATATTCAACAGGTAAACACCTTCCTTACGATGATGCGATGGCAGTGTCCTAGACACCACGCGGCTGAAGTAGAAAAACCTTGAATATCGGCAGAATACACACCAGAGTTTTTCTAGATAAGAAACCGATTGAAAAACCAACATCCCCTTGAGCTTTCGTTACGTCAAATTGCCAGTAGCACCTTTTAAAGAGCAATGTACATGGTAGCGCGCAGACTCGCAGCTGGTAGATCTTCGCGCGCACCCACCTAGACACGACACAAGATCGCTGAGTGCGTAGTGCGCCATGGTTCTTTTGATGGGAGAAGGTAATTGCAGGAAAGTGCTGCCTCAGTACCATGATGACCACTGGTAGTCCCACATAAATTATGGCCACGAACTCGACATTTGTCTCAGTATTGGCGCCCGCTCTTGTTGACTATTATTGAGCATGCTTTTTTCCCAATTTGTCATAACAGACGACGCCGTG